TAAGATAATTAGATCACGCGTACACTCATATCGAAATATTCCATACACGCTTGTACGATAAAATCAGGTAATAATACAACAATTCAAATTAAATAGTCATATTTACAAAATGTACAGTTTTACAACAAGAGATATTGCAATTAGGCAAATGGTTCCATTCTAGAGGATGTATTTTAGAAACCTTCATACCAAATTGGTGTACTTTCAAAAGCAAGGAAAATAATCATTCTCCACGCTTTTGTCTTATTCTTCTTATGGAATTTTAACCTATTTACTCATTCTGTTTTAAACCTCTTCATTGAAAATTTTTAACATCTTTTCTTTGCTCAATATTAAGAATTTTTCCAATTTTTATAATTAATGTCTACCTAAAGGAATGAATTGTTCTTCTGTGTACCAATATCACCATGCCATAACAAATACTGTACCTATTTTTGTTTATTTCAGGATGAAGTGGATGAAGTTATGATGGTTTGGAATACACACATAATAAGAGCAAACAGGAACAACACTCCCTCAGGTAGGCCACTGATTCTACACTTATTGCCAGATATGGAGAATGTTGAAGATCATTTGTGTGATGTTTCCGAAGAGGAAATAGATGTGTGCCGTATGGAATGTTCTGAAGAAACAATCTATCATTGTGAGGAAGAATTATTCGAACTTTGTTGTCTCCATATGGAGGAAAACAACTGGACTCTACCGAAAGCTATCACCGAGGCAATAGACTTATATTTACGCCTACGTAACTGGCTTTTAACACAACTGTGACCGGCTTGATGACAGAGCAATTTCTGTACATCTTATTTTGCCATGAAAACCGTTTCCAATGCATATATCAAACAGTTAATAACAGATAATTATTTCCGGGAGAGGGGCGATATAAAGGTGTTTGTTTTGCTTATATTAAAGTCATATCATTTATGTAAATTCTACTAATAAAGAGATTCTTGTCACCGATTTTGACTGTAATATGCTCTCAAATTACTTTGCATTTGTATTAGATATGTAGGCATTAAGGTTAATAAAGGTCAGGCGAATATATGTAACTGTCTATAGGTTGCACGCTTTGCACCTTAGTTTTTTTTGCTCACTCCTCCCACAGCTGGTGGTCAAGAATCGCTGCAAATATCATTGTATTGAGGTCTAATGGGTGCTAAAGGAAAATGAGTTTGCATTTTTGGCGTTCAACTCGATGCAGTCATCTTGAAAGATTTTTAGTCGGTACTCGTTCTGGATGGATAGTCATATCAACACGAAAATTTTTCTTCTCCAGGAACACTCCTTACAATGCATTGCCAGTAATAAATAAAAATCGTCCTGATTTAATATCCGAGAGCATGGCCTTCACAGAAGCCACAAGGCCGTGAAGGCAGTGATATAGCCACACTGTCTGAACATATAGTAACATCGATATATGGTTTCTCATTTGAACACTTCATACGACAATTAATTGGTCTTAAATTTATTAAAAAAAATGTACTGGTTAAACATCCTGAATGAATGACAGTTCCAAAATGGCTGCATCCTTAAAACTCTTTGTCATCGCTTTTCCTTAATGGACTAAATTTTCAAGGGGGCAGAACATAGAAAAATATTTAATACAGTTTGTTCTAAATGAAAATGGTGTTGATATGACACAAGTACAATCACTTCTTCAGTCCGATATAAATCTTGTAACACTAAAAGTCAAAATAATAAAAAAAAAATGCAGCCATCTTTCCACAATGTGATGGGCTGCGGTAAAATAAATGGTACATGAATGAAACAAAACGATACCCCACCAGTGTAACTAATACATTAAAAGTAAAATAAAGAAACGTTCCTTCTTCCTTCTGTGGATTTCTGCAAATGTTATATCGAGATTGCGTATAAATTTTAAATAGATTGAGCTCTAAACTGTGACTTTGTAGGGACCTATTGGTTGACGAATTGATATTAGTCATTGGGATAAGTCTCACTTTTAGAATGCGAATTAATTGTAATCTCAGTATATGCTGAATTTTTCTAACTTGGCTTTTCTCATTTTGGATCCGTTGTCTCTGATTAGATATCTTATACGTTGACTCGGGTCTTTACATGATGGTGTGATTACGACGCACTTTAATTACTTTGGGTAACACGAATCCCTACTACAGTAGGACCCCAAATAGTATCATATAAGGTGATCAAATTCCAATGATCATCAGGCCCCGCCGCACAAGGTGGCAAACAAAAAGACATTTAGGTACAGATATGGAACCAAACCAATCTGTTACAAAACCCGGACCGTTAGGCCCTCAAAATAAAATAGGTTACATAGACCCCATATTAGCAAACTATAAGGTAAGCCCAGGGCCAGTCACACAAAGTGATCAACATAAAATTAACATACCAATGACTGTCATCAGTGGAACCAACATCCTCCGTCTTGAAAACAGCACAGAATATATTCTAAATTCTTCATATTTCGACATTAAAACCATGGACATTCAAAAATTCGGAAAAACCAAAACCCGGTGCAGTTGCCACCCGTTTACAGCCTTCTTGGTACTTTCTACTCCCGGGAACTCGTTAAATAGCGTGCATTGCGTGCATTAAAACTCTCGTAGAAAAGTCTGTGTGCCACAAATGCCACTTAGAACACTGTATCAACGACTGAATCATGAGTGCGTGATGGGTCTATTCCCACTCGATCAAGCCAACTAATCAGGCAAACATGGAACATTCCAGTTAAAGTTCCGCTGCTCATTTAGAAGCACTCACTGAGTGCATTTACGCCTTGGATAGATGGCACTCGTACCCTTCCTCAGGAATATTTAACAGCCTGCCATGCATGCATTAAACAGTGGCACATGCACAGTATGTTCGCACGCCAATATAATTTAAAAAGTTCAGTTAAGTTCCCTCACAGTCGGGTTGTCTCATTCTTTTTCCATCGCATGACGCAACAAACCACCTCTAATGTAAATAATGGCCATTTTGAACTGCTTTTGAAGCCTGTTAGCATTTGTGCATTATAATAAGTTACTAAGACAACAATGACTACATTACGTGTCTTCACTAACGGCAGTGTAAACAATAGTTTCAGGTTATGGAAACAAACGATTTCTTCAATTTGTGCATTACAATGTTCCAGGTATAACATAAATAATTAGTTCCGATGGCACCGCCAACATAAATTATAATATGACATAGGTACAACCTATGCTAGCTGAATGACATTGCCTGTTGTCATAGAGTTGTCAGATGTGATGCCTTTTGTATCGTGCTCGTTCTCAGCAATTGTAATATAATGCTCCCGCGTTGCAAGAAATATTTAGTGATATTGTCATTCAGTTAAATATAAATGTATCAAACGACTACTGTTATTTACGTTAATATACCCAAATAATATTTGGTGTATGCATAACAACACATAATGGCGTCACAAATAACACCATGTAAAGGAAAGGCGTAACGACTGAGGCTTCCGAATGAATTTCGAAGTCCTATGGCATCAGTACACAATTAATATAATCCGGTTCAGTACCCACGAATGTAGTCCCAGTTTATTTTTAGATAACGTTTTACTGTCTCCGTTTGGTGGTGATACGAGAGTTAGATTTTGTCATTCTTGGTAAGGATTTAAAGGCAATTGTTTATTCTTTAGAATACGTGGTTATGGTGTGGGTGTCTGTGTGTATTTCGGCGACAGTGCACATTGAGTAATAAGGCCATAGTGATGATTCGGAAGTGAAATCTGTGTTCAGTTGCATGGTGTTTCGTTTACAATCCAGCCTCTCAAAACAATGCAGGTCAACCCTTGACAAGAACTTCACCGTAAAGTCATCTTTGAAGGTATTTTAGATTAACATACGATTTGTATTGATTGTCACACAGTGGAGAGTTCAGTACTGAGAAACAAATGTAGAGACTATATAGTAATATTAATTGTGTTCTATGGCCTTATCACTATATCTTTCTATCTCTCCATACCTCATTCTGTCTCTCTCCATGATGGACAAAATTATGTGAAAAAAATAGGAGAGAGAGAGAGAGAGAGAGAGAGAGAGAGAGAGAGAGAGAGAGAGAGAGAGAGAGAGAGAGAGAGAGAGAGAGAGAGAGAGAGAGAGAGAGAGAGAGAGAGAGAGAGAGAGAGACTGAGCTGGATGAAAACCGGTGGCGATATAATTTTATGTTTACAACTTTCCTTGGGATTTGTCGAATCTTACACGATACTGAGAGACAACATCGAACTTGCCTGTCGAAACGAGAAATCTATTTTATTATGCTTGATTCTGTTTTTAAGTTCTCTTTAACCTATAAATGTAACATTGGTAAATATTAAACTGGATTAAGATCTCTCTCTCTCTCTCTGTGCACGTTGGTCAATTAGCATAGAGTTATTTGCCTTAATTGATCCTGATCACGCTGTCTCTCCCTGTATCTATGCTGATAAAACCAGAGACTAATAGAGCAACAAAAATGCAAAGAGATAGACGATATATACAATGTAATGGTCAGCCACAGCCCCGAAAAATAATTGTTCCCGCATACCCCCATGTCTCTCTCATCGAAAGCCACAAGCAAAAAGCAAAGGTCGCATCGGATTTGCATAAGAACCAGGATATGATGATAAGTAAATCTGACTAACTGAGAGAGAGAGAGAGAGAGAGAGAGAGAGAGAGAGAGAGAGAGAGAGAGAGAGAGAGAGAGAGAGAGAGAGAGAGAGAGAGAGAGAGAATAAAAACAATCTTATGGCCAGTAGCAACGATAAGAAAAACATTGTAAATAACTAACATGGGTGATGCGATGGTTCAAAGGTTAGCGTGCCGGCCTCAGTACCGAATGAGTGCGGGTTCAATCCTACCATCGGAACAGCCTGGGTCAGTTTAGTGGTGTGCTTTGGGCAAGGCACTTTATTCCAATTATTTAAATAACCGACCTGTGTTGTTGTGTTACAGGTAACTAACTTGTGTTGCTATACCATAAAGCACAAAAACCAACCAAAATTTTAATTTTCTGAATTACTTCTAACCGCTCCGATGGCCTAATGGTTGGAACGTCCGCCTCGGATACGGGGGGTCGTGGGTTCGATCCCCGGCCGAGTAATACCAAAAACTTACAAAATGGTACTAACAGCTACCTCGCTTGGTGCTCAACATTAGGAGGTCAGTGTTAGGACTGGTCGGCATGGTGTCTGGATAATGTGACTGGGTGGGACATCAAGCAACATTTCTGCGGCATGATGCCACAGTGCTAGATATCACTATAAGCCGCCACACTACAGACATCGTAACGACATGACTGAAAAATTGTTAAAGTTTCATTAAAAATTCAAATTGCACAGACTTACCTCTCGTTGTCATTTCAATCAGCATATTCTTAACTCTTTTAGATGTATTTGCCGGTTATCAAATGGCGGCACTTTAATTGTTCGGTATGCTAGCCATACAATGCTTGTAGTGCACACTTCATTTAAACAAATGAGTCTCAAACTCAAACCACCCTGAGGGCCGCATGAGGGCATTTTAAATTGCCCAAGGGCAGCAGCACATTTTTTTATTATCTCTCATGACACCTTGTTACGCTCACCATTTTGCGGGCCACAGGATACGGCTTGACAGGCCGCGTGTTTGAGACCCCAGATTTAAACGAACTTTCACTTTTACACTCTCCTTGACTATAATAAATGTAAACGAAGCTCACAAATGGAGCAAACCGAAAATTTCTAAAAGTATTATAAGTAACTACAACAAATGCAGAGCTGTATTTCATAGCGGGGACCCCAGTTGGCCGTGTAGTCTAAAGCGCCCACCTTTACCAATCATTACCATCCCACCTCTATCCTCGTGGGTTGATTCTTGGGCCCGGCCAATGTAGGTATGCGAGAAAGCTTGCTAGTGACTTCCCATGGATCGGTGGTTCTTATCGATATTTCCCGGGTTCTTCCTCCACCAGTTATACTGGTAGCTATGTATGGCCTATCTTAAAGCCCAAACAACGACATTTCGTACCTTGCACACAGGGAATGAATGTAAGAACACTCCTTCTGTCATTGCAGTTTCCTGTAGTCAATATTACCAGAGTTGGAAACATAAGTAGGTGTATTTGTGTGGGTATAAATAAAACACGTATATTATGCAAATATTACAAATCTTAATGGAATGATCATGGCTCGAATATTGCAAAAAATATTCACACGTTGCAAATTTATTTGGTTTGTAACAATTTCTATTATGTTGTCACAGTGTTCAAATGGACATTTTCTTTCACAGCTGCTCATTTTATACAAATATATAAAAAGTAAATGCATAACTTTGTGTCGTTAATCATACGTAATTGATAAACTTTCCATGAAATGAATAATAAGAATTTAAACTTAGTAATCTATTTCAGCTGTATAGTAATCCATGGCATGCTTAATTAACCATAGAATGTGGATGGGGATAAAGTATGTATCAACAAGAGACCTAAGGAGACTGGTGTTCCGCCAAAGCATAACTGTATAAACCAAATCATTGCAGTTATGTTTGATTAAAAATGCCATTTTTCTGTTGTATTCTATAGTAAGTCAGTAAATAATGAAATCAAAGGGGTGTATGAATCAGACGAGAAGTAAATTGTAAATCCATTTATTAGCAAACTATTATTCATAAATGTATGATGGATCGTCATTTTAAAAGAGTGGATATTCCATTACATCATGGAGGAAAGGCAAAATATCAATGCTGACTTTTATCACATTTCCTGCAGTGTGAAATTCGGCAGCAACGATTTCCAAGAGTCATTATTCTTTTATTCCTGAGACATGATTTGTACATTGTTTAAACAGAAGATTTGCATATTATGCAATCTATACATAGTATACTTATAAATCAAATTCAACTGATTTACACTGAAACATATTAACTGATATGAAAAATGCAACACCATTTAAGGTAATGAAAATGGTTTTAAAAGTTTTGAATCATAATGAAGATGCAAAACAATGTCATCAATCACAAATTTGTCAATCCTAAAAAGAAAAGAAAAAGTCAACATTTACCCTAAGAAGAAATGGAGTATGTGTTCTACTAGAATATTTCACAAAGAAATGAACAAATGTATCTCATTGACTTTCTGACACTGTCAAAATACAAAAATTCTTTATCATCTACATTTATTGAACACAAACATAAATCACATTATTAATAAGAGTACATGCAGCTGTAATATAATCATCAGAGGTATGAAAACCAGAACTAAGATTTATTACAATGTCCTTCAAATTTCAAGCTCTACAAAAAACATGGAACAAAATTATAAGCAGAGTTACCATAAATGTGTTTTTATTTGTGTCTGAATATATTATCCAGTTAAACAAATTTAAATGCAGTGGTTCACATAATATAAATTGAACATAATTATCCATTACTTTTTCTAACTTTTTCAGGATAGAACAATCTGTTCTGTTTTCCCTTCAGAATAAGCAGGTGCTGTATTCCCAAAAATTGTACTATTAACATGGTTAAAATGAAACAAGAAAACTACTAACAGAACTGAACAGTAACAAATAATCTGAATCAATGTACTGAACATCATTTATATATGCTTTGATTCATATTAAATATAACTCATCTCCCAAACATTGCTTGATAGGATTTTTTCAAATTCTTCTCGCATATCTGAGAATGTTTCATAAGTTGTTGGCATTCTTAGAATACTTCCACAGGTATGGGCTACTGGGCGTCTTTCACAGCCATATAACCTTGTAAACTCTATAGTAATCTTTTCACTCATAAGATTGGAACCTGTGCAAAACCGCAAAAAGTTTTCCATACCTTTCTTGTCCAACCCTTTTACAAAACGTTTCAGGTAGTTAGATGTGGTTTGCTGATTGCAGTCCATCACATCTGGAAAGTTCAAAGCATTCAATATTTTCTTCACTGTTGGCTGCTTTTCTTTAAAAATGTCACAAAGTTCCTTTTGGTCCATTTCTAAATTGGTTCCAAACACTTTTCTCCAACTTTCAATGACAAATTTTGGCTCCTGTAAGATTTCCTTATGTGCAATTTCTTCAATGATAGGCTGGATGTTTGCAGGTGTTGGCAGCCTTTTACACTCATGGGATTCCAAAACCTCCAACAGGTCATTCATATCAACCAACTCAAAGGTATCTAATGCTGTTTGAATGATGGTTCGTTCTGAAACTGGTATGAAGCCAAGAAAGGTTGTTGTAAGGCTTACTGTAATCATACCAAATATTGCATCTTCAAGTACAGAATGCGCAAGTTGAACTGGAAAGTATTTCAAGGTTGACCAACCATCACATATGATTCTTCCTACTGATTTCCATTCATCTTCACCCATATCATGTCGCAAAATAGGAACGTAGATATCAGCACCCTCACAACATTTGAAATAGAAGCTTTCCCAGAATTCAGTGAAAATATCTCTGAGAAGTCCAACACCTTCACCTCTTTCATCTTCTCCATTGGGTAATACCCTTTTCACTGCACAACTGCTAGACACATCTCTTCATTTTGATAGCCTTATCAGTTCAGCAAAACTGTTAAGTTGATGTATCCTAATTGTTGAATCAAGACTCTCTTCCTCCTGTGCAGACTGAAGTGTATTTCCTTGTGGAGTTGGAACTTCTGGTGATAAATTATGGCCAGATTCAGAAGATACTGATTCAAACACAACAATGTCATCCACACATAAAGTTCCAGACTCTGATGTTGCAGTATAGGGTAAAGAATTGCATGAGATGGAAGGAGACTCCTCTGACGACAAAAGTTTGCAAATCTCGGCACAAAGTGAAAACATTATTTCATTATCCACTTGGACTGTCAACAAACTTGACTGCAGATCTGAATCACAGGACTGCATGGTTAATGCTGGTGTAGAAGCATTCAGTGCTGTTGGTGCTTCACTAAATGCTCTGTATGTTGTTGGCACATATCCTTCAGGACTGACAGGGGCTGAGGCAGATAATAAATCTAATCTAAAGGATGATTTTTCAACACATGTAGTTAATCCAGGCAAATTTTCCTCCAGAAGACCTTTATCACTTGCATCTACTGTAACAAAAGGCTGCTTTTTCTAGAATAAACATAGAATCTAAGTATTCTCATTTGTGTTATTTTATACAGATCTTCCACTGTTGCTGAGCTATCAACTAGTGACTGCTGGAAGCCTTTTAATTGAAATTCAAATTCTGATTCACAACCCTTCCTTGAGACACCTCCTGGAAAAAAGTTTCTTTTTATATTCAAGCATGTCTTTGGATATTCAATATTTGCTCACTTTTGCTTCCCTTGTCCCACCACCATTTTTATTTCTAACCTGTTGGTACTTTTCTGAGCATAATTAAAATCACACCAGCCAAGTTCAATATTTCTCTCATTTTTAGATGCATTTGCATTGCCTAAAAGCTTCGCTCTTCTTTGATCTGGTGACTCATCTTCATCATGGACATCATGTCTGTTGTATTTTGATCCTAGCTTTCGAGGGAGCTTCTCCAACAATGTGGTTTTTCTACTATACTTCTGTTGTTAGCTTAATAATTCCTGGCAAAATCTTTTTGTCGCATAAACATCTCCAAGCTTTGGAATATACATTTGTAACTGACTTTCTGGCATTGCACATAGGCTTTGGCAGTCAATCTAAAACACACACAAAAATTACATTCAATCATTTTAGTAATACAAATTTCTTTTGATATTTGCAAGTAAATGAGAGAAATTGGTAACATTAAAATTTTACTCACTGTTCGCACCATAATGCACAGCTGATGAAAATGTTTAATATAATGAAAAGGACTATAAAACATTTTCAAAGCAAGGCAAGTAAAATTTTTCAACACCCTAGCACAGAACAAGTGATTTTTCCCCCTTTTTCTATTTTAAAATAAATTGGGGAAAGCACAAATTTTCATATTTATATGACTTATATCAACCTTTATCTGCCCACTCATGTCCATACAGAATGCATCAATCTAACTCACATGTGTGTGTGAATTATATTACTGCTTGACAGCATATGCAGGGGTCACGCTACCAGGCGAGGTGGGCGAACAAGTCGCCTGAGAAGCGTAAGCTTCGCCTTCTTCTGTTATGAAAGCGAA